TGGCACGTTATTACGTACTGAATAAATATGGACGAGAAGATTGAAGAAAGAAAAATACATATTAAAAAAAAACCATCATGTAAAATAGAAACGTTAGTCAATTATAGCGCGAGTGTTAATCGCTCTTGTCTTATTTTGTGTTGTTAATTTGATTGGTCTGCAAAATTGCGTGTAGTCAATGAACTGAATTATGGGCAACCGCAAAGGCGAAAATAATAATCATTTAGTACCGTGTACTGGCTTCCTGATCCTCCGATCTTTTAGCTTTACCGAAAGCCGAGTTTTAAATATGTGGAATACTTATTACCATTTACACACATCATTAATGATGACAATTAATGCCATACATGTTCTGTGATAAGACCACTTGTAATTACTGCAATTGTATAATCGATCCTTTCTAGAGACAGACTCCCCCAAACCCCTCCCCTTTGACGATCCTGGCAGCCAGTGAATTTACTTGTTATATAAAATACATACGATAAGCGACAGTCGTTATCCGGACAGTCCCAAACCTAGCGTCACTATCGATTTTAAGATTTTTACACTGTACATATCTGCTGTGTATTTTATAAGAACAGAACAAACTCACGTACGAGGATCCCATACTTTTACAAAAACCGTACAATAATCAGTATGTATAATTTATTTCAATTTTACAGACTGCGCTAAACTCATGTTCCTTGAAAAACACTATGCTTTAACTTTACATGTAATATAACGCCGAAAAATTGATACAGATTTAGAAAGTGCTCATTCGTTGTAGTGCTGTCGAATAGCACGTTGTATATCGCGTCAAAGATCAAAGATTGAACCGATGGAAATATAGTTAGGAGAATTTTCCACTGTTTTTCTACGTCGATCTTTTTATTTGAGTCTTAGAATAATATAGGACTTAAATAAGAAAAGGAACAACAAAAGTATATATTAGACACAAAAGCGGTATAGTAGCAATTTAAGGAACATACTTTGGCCGTGCTGATTCATATTTTAAAAATCTGCGACCATTCTCCAATTTCATATCTATCTTTGGGACTGTGCGGCGATTTTTCTTTTGTGAAACACACATAACGTTGAATGTCATTTCCTAGAGAAAACAAAAGACGAAAAAAAAAAACGGAAAAAAATATGCGAGACATATAAAGCTAATTTCGAAACAATTCGTAAAATACAGATATAGAAAAATGATACACACAAACACATACAGATGTAGGCGCAATTCCGTACGAAAATCCGCAGCAGGAAATGATAAACTATTAAGTACAAGTAAGACAAGTGTTACCTCATCATGATGAAAGCCGGCGCGTGTCGGTGATCGAGATCACCACCGCCACTAGTTACTACCGCACGCCCGCTCTCTGATACACACACACAAACACACACACACACACACACACACACACACACACACATATATATACATACACAACACACCCGTTGTACATTGCATTTAAAAATTCGAAGCGGTCTTGTGTGAAAAAAAATTAACGGTTGCGGTAGTGGCTGTTCCGCGAGAAGTGTTACGCGCGCCGCTCATTGAACCCAGCTCATACACGCAGACATTCATTTTCCATTTTACTTTAAGTCATTGCACCACATCAAATAAATGACATTTTCATTATATAACAATGGAGCGTAATTTTTCATTACCTCTCCACCATTATGTCGCCGCGTTACTATGCTCGGATCTCTCGAAGACTACGAGATTATCGCGATCGCTATATTATACGGTTTAGAAAAAAATCTAGAAAACATTTTGGAACTAACATCTATAATTAGTACGATCTCGCTATCAAGTTGAAATGATGAGAACTTTTTTTTTTAATAAATCTATAGATTACGTTTTATTCAGATAATAGCATACAAATATACACGCAAATGAATGAATTATTTGTGTCTGTGAGAGTATCGTTACATGTACTGAACAACGGGAGACGAGGAAGAAGGCTCGTTGGAATTTTGATGGAAAATCTTTTCTTGCAATTTCGGCGTTCCTGGATACGACGGTGGAGCTTCCGACATGGACATCTGCAAACAGAGAAATTTTATCATTATTCGAGAATTATTTTAACGTTTGTCTCTGATTATATCGTGGTAAGTTGTAGCAAATACACACATATTCTTATCATAATCAGTAAACTAAAAATGTCAATTTATATACCCTGTTGTAGGGAGACGTGTAAAGAGGAGGAGCACTGTCGGAATACGCGTTGGTGGACGAAGTATTGCGAACAGCTTCGTTATATGAAGGTGGTCTCTCCTGACCTTCGATGGTGCTGCAATATATCGTCGGGTCACCTTCCTCGACACGTCTTCTTCGTGTTGGCGTTGACGTTTGGATCGCCCTATAAATAATGGGAATGAATTTATAGAAGTCTAATAAAAAACTAATTTCAGGAAACTTTTTTGAGAAACTAACTGAAGCTGAAGTTTAATATATGTACAATAAGCTTATGCAAATATGTAGCATATTAGTACATTTAAAAAATTCCCAAAAAAGCTTTCTTTGTTAGATTTTTGAGGTCCCTTGAAGTGTCTTGAATTATTTGCTTCTCTTGAATTACTTTTTTCTATCTCGATGAAAATTGTGAATGCTTATGACATAAGTGAAAAGTATATACTTGAAAGAATAACTCTTTAAAGACCTGTCAATTTAGCTTATTAATTTAAAAATTGAAGTTTTTGATAAAGTAAATGTTGGAAGATAGAACGTAAAAATGCAATTATTCTCTCTGATTTCTCTTTGTAAAGTTCAAAAGCTCTATTCTGTAATCCTTAACAATGTTATTAAATGATTATCGTCAGTAAAGAACTTTTCTTATTCCATAGGAAAAAAATTGTGATAAAATTGTTCTAAATTTAGCAATGTTGAGTTTACGACAATTTTGTTACCATTTTGTTGTTAATGAATAACATCATTTACACAAAAGAAAAAATTGGTGTTCACTAACAACAATAGTTCAATTATTAAAAATTACAGAAATAAGACCCTAAGGAAAAAAGCAAGATTTAGAAGAGCTGCATTTGTCATGAAATATCATTAAATTTGGTATATTTGTATTTGTTTGGAGCACCAATAGTGAATAATAGAGAAAATTGAAAAAATAAATGTATTGGATGTCTTCATACTTGTTGCGCATTTTACAGTAAAATGCGACCATGCCGATGATGCTTAATCCAAACAGCATTGCAATTCCAATCTGTGTCATTATTATTAATTGCAGCTGCTCATGCCTGAAATAAATATTGGTTATTAATTAGATCTTAATCTACTGAGAAAAACAGGGTATTACATTGAAATAATTTAGCTATTACTATGCAAACAACTAGTTCTTTACCAACACGTAGTGCAGTTTGCGCAGACACAGCATGGAACATTGGAACAGCAAATTACACACTTGTCTGTAAATTTTAAAAAAAGAGAAATAGAAACATTTATTTAAAGGATGCGACTATAAAAATACTATTTAAAGTATTTTGCGTAGTATAAAATAAAAAAAGCAAGTAGTATTTATTATTTACATTAACATTATTACTCGAATGAGATATTTATTTGAGATTTTAATAGTTCATGGTTAGATAAATTCTTCTATTTTCTATTTCTTTTTTAATAGTATATAACAGGAAATAGTAAAAAATAAAATAAAATAAAAAGCATATGTTTTATGGATAAGTAGAAATATGAATAATTCGTTTCTCCATAAACATATTTCAAAATAAATTTATTTGTCATTGGGTGCATAGTTCTTTGTAATAAATAAAAGTACCCTAAGAAAAAAAATTAGCAGAAATTTTGCTGGAAGTGATATTTTAGCGAAGTTTTTAAAAATGTGCTAAAATTTCACTGAAGATAAATTTTTCAATAAAAATGCTGAAAAATAGTTAAATTTAAATTGAAATTTCGAAAATTTTGCTGAAAATTTGTTGAAATCAATGTGCAAGAGCCATAATATATGCATATATAATATATGTATATACATATTACAATTATTTATTTTATTTTGAATGACACATTAAAATTTGTATTTTATGCATACAATAAAATGTATTACACGCCATTGAAAATATATTTTTAGCGTTTAATGATGGAATACATATATGTATAATAATTGAAAAAATTCTAACTTGCAATCGCACACGAAAAATTTTGATATTAACTTACCAACATATTCAAAGCAGATGCACGACGATTGTTGCTGGACGTCACATTGCGTACAATTATTTAAAGTATATATATATCTTTCCGAAATCTCGGGATATATATCCATCTCTGTTAAAACATAGATTTTTCACAATATAAAAAGTACATTCCATAAATAAAATCAGTAGTGTTTTACGCTTATTAATACGCATTTGCATTGAAATGTGAAAATATTTAAATACAAGAAAATAAAAAACTGATCACATAAACACACATTCAAATATAATGTCACATACCTGAGCTTTTAGTCAGACTTATTGTAACGCAAAAGCATAAATATCCAAATAAGAATAAGTTCATGATTTCATAGCTATTTATATACAAAGTAACCACATGTTATCTAAATTTCACTTTCACTAACATAATTAGATCAATTGCACATTTTTAATTGATATTATTTAGTATAAAGATGCAATTACGATTTGTGCGAAAATAATTTTGTGATAACAAACATATTAAGGTAATGTAAATCGATATCCAATGTAAATGTACTTCTGTGAACACCTTATATCTTACAAAACCTCTTATTTGTACCCATAATAATCTTATCAATATGAATGTCTGATAACATTGATAATCAACAGGCATCAGACAAGAAGATATTTTTTCGTATTGATAGCAGCTATAACTTTCTATATTTCAAATTTTGATAATATATTTTGATAATAATGTCAGACGGATATATTATCTTTAATGAATTACTCATGTTACATATATAAATGCATATATTTATATATATGTATATATATAATTATTACAATACATTACCATTATTATCATTTACTTATAGAACTGCGCATTCATTTAGCAAGTAGGCAAATATGAGAAAACGAAAATATAGGTATTACTTGGATATTTTATAACATGTGTCAGCAAATAAGTGAAAGTCTCAAGACTTTCGTAATTTAGCCTATTTTACAGTAAAATTCAGAGATATGACACCAGATCTCTCGAACAATTTCTTTTGTACAATTTCAATTAGTTAATGTAATTAATGCCTCTACAATATCGCCTCTATGTTCCCTGAGAGTCTGTTCGGCCAAAATCCGACTGATCTCCATCTCTTTCATCTGAAAGAAATACGACCGTAAGTCTCTTAATCGATACGAATTTCCAAGGACTGAACACATGGGGAAATACTCACGATCAAATCGACATCCTCCTTCTTAATAGATACTTTGAGCAGCTCCTTCTCCTTCGCCTTTTTCTCCGCGGCTTCCTTATCGCGACGGTCGCCGATTATGCTGAGAGCCTGTTAGACATTCTTTTTAATGCGAAAACCGAGTTAACTTTCAATTTAACATTTGAAATCGAGCAACGAGAGTGATTGAATTCTAGGTTACCCGGGACAAGTGAGTACTTACGCATGAAAATCCATCGGACGACGAGATCTCTTTCTCCTCGGCATAATCGGTCACTTTTTCCAGATCCGCTGCACCACTGTCATACTTGGCCGCCTTCTTCTGCGACTTCTCCTGCTGCACATCGTCCGAGTCCCCGTTCACATCGTCGTCCGCCATCTTCCGTGCAAGGTTAACGTGCGCTTCGTCTGGCTTCGCTGCTCCCGCTGTCCCGGTTCGTCGTATGTCAACAGACACGCGTGGATGTCGTGGACAGTGGACACTCCAAACATCCAGACAGTTTCGATCAAATTCTGATTAAGTTAATCGGAATGAATGATTCGAACGGCAGAATTATCTAAAAGCAAAATTTCTAAATTGTCCCTGATTTAATCCTAGCTTTCTGCCAAAATATTAATAATTTTATTTATATTATAAACAAATGATTCTGTCTATATTGTAAAAAAATTAATACTTCTATCTATATATATATATATATATATAATTATATACAGAATTATTTTTTTATTATAATATGAATAAAATTATTGGATAGAATAAAAATCTTGAACCACAAATATTTTATATATACATATGTATGTATAACGCCGGTAACCAATATTAAATAACATAATGTATGTAAAAGAATTCCAAATAAATGAAAAAAATATAAGTGCTTAATATTTTGGATCAATATATATAAGTAAAATCTATACATCTATTATCCCACTAAGCAACGAACTTTGCAACAATGGCTGCGTTCAGCAGACTCAACAGTTTTGCAACCGTTTTATGATTGCTGCTGAGATAGGACATTCTTCTAGATCTAAAAGTATAATCCAATTAGCGCGAAGGAAACTTCCAACAGTTGCAAAACAAACGTTCTGCTGAACGCAGCCATTAGCTGCGTTCAGCAAAGAAAGCTGCTTTGCAACTGTTGTATTGGGTGCGTTCAGCAGAACGTTTGTTTTGCAACTGTTGGAAGTTTCCTTCGCGCTAATTGGATCATACTTTTAGATCTAGAAGAATGGTCCTATCTCAGCAAACAATGGCTGCGTTCAGCAGAGAAAGCAGCTTTGCAACTGTTGTAAAATTCTTCAATACGATTGGTTCTTGCTTTTGGTTCCTGACAGATCTAAATGTATAAACCAATCATATTGAAGAATTTTACAACAGTTGCAAAGCTGCTTTCTCTGCTGAACGCAGCCATTAGCTGCGTTCAGCAAAGAAAGCTGCTTTGCAACTGTTGTATTGGGTGCGTTCAGCAGAACGTTTGTTTTGCAACTGTTGGAAGTTTCCTTCGCGCTAATTGGATCATACTTTTAGATCTAGAAGAATGGTCCTATCTCAGCAAACAATGGCTGCGTTCAGCAGAGAAAGCAGCTTTGCAACTGTTGTAAAATTCTTCAATACGATTGGTTCTTGCTTTTGGTTCCTGACAGATCTAAATGTATAAACCAATCATATTGAAGAATTTTACAACAGTTGCAAAGCTGCTTTCTCTGCTGAACGCAGCCATTAGCTGCGTTCAGCAAAGAAAGCTGCTTTGCAACTGTTGTATTGGGTGCGTTCAGCAGAACGTTTGTTTTGCAACTGTTGGAAGTTTCCTTCGCGCTAATTGGATCATACTTTTAGATCTAGAAGAATGGTCCTATCTCAGCAAACAATGGCTGCGTTCAGCAGAGAAAGCAGCTTTGCAACTGTTGTAAAATTCTTCAATACGATTGGTTCTTGCTTTTGGTTCCTGACAGATCTAAATGTATAAACCAATCATATTGAAGAATTTTACAACAGTTGCAAAGCTGCTTTCTCTGCTGAACGCAGCCATTAGCTGCGTTCAGCAAAGAAAGCTGCTTTGCAACTGTTGTAAAATTCTTCAATACGATTGGTTCTTGCTTTTGGTTCCTGACAGATCTAAATGTATAAACCAATCATATTGAAGAATTTTACAACAGTTGCAAAGCTGCTTTCTCTGCTGAACGCAGCCAATGTACCATTTAAAGAGTTAAGAGCGATTGAGAGTAGAAATTTGGAGGGAAATACAACGTGCATTGTCTATTTGATACATTTTAAAGTGTTGTGTGAGAAACCTCGAGAAACCTAAATTTTTTTTTATATCAACTCATAACATTTTGATATCTAGTATATATTTACAATTATGTAATATTTCTCTATATAAATATGTTTTGAAGGTGATTTAATAGTTTTTTAAATTTTTCTACATTTTTTTCCTTATTTTTCAATATATTTACAATTTATTTTTATTAATTTTCATTAAGTTTAGATTATTTCATTGCAATAGTGGGTTTATTCGCGTTGCATGCTCCAATATGCTCCTATAATAGCTTTTACTCATTCCAACGCATTCATTGAAATGCGACGCGAATAAATATAGTGAGTTTTGACAGAGCGAAAGAAGGATGAAAAGAGAAAGAAGTTCATATAGCCAACATAGGAACGCTAAGTTTACGCTAGGTAGAATCCTAGATTATCAGAGAGGCGCAACCGGCTTAAACCAGTATGACAAAGGTACTAGGGAGGGTACTAAACATGGCTGACATGCTATGAAACTGCCTTTAAACTGTCAAACAAGATAAAACAAAGTAATATAAAA